TCAGAATCAGAATAGAGTTTATTGCCTAGTACACATAGAAAGAATTTGTTTTGGGGGTTGGTGCCAGACAACGAGATATATATATATATATACTGTATATACATTCAGTACCAGGTGCGGGTACCCCCCTCGTCATTCAGTATCAGGTCACTTGAGAGCAGATGTACCATCCTCTAGTGTTGGTAGGCTTGGTGTGTATCAGTAATTAGCTCTTTACTCACTAGCTCCTCTTAGTAATCTTTTTAGTTCCCAGCGGATTAAACCAGGCAGAAGCTATGCCCATCCACCATGAGTTTCAAAGCTGAATTTCATTCATGACAGCACAAAATTATTTGTCCATATACTGTATATTTCATACCTGCTGAAACCTTAAGTATAGCTCAAAATGTTCAATGTTACAAACACCTGTGAATTCTGATTAGATGACACATGCAGATGAATTCACAAATAATAGGTGTTATATAATATGTAATAATACTGCCGCTTACGTGCTGAGCTTACGTGCCATACCAAGGCTGGAGCTCAATATTAATTAAGTGACACAATTGCTGGGTTAGTGTTGTTTGAATATGAATAACTGGACACTTTGTCTCCTCACCACCATTGTCTTGGGTTTACACCTCCGCTCACACTCTGCTTTTCCCTTTGATCTGAGCAAACGGCCAGAATTAGGCCAATGTCCTAACCACCCACCCATATAAAGAATAGCCATTTCACTATTATACTTTGCTTACTTATCTACAAGTAAAAAACTAAAAATGGCTGCTGTGTAGATTTGCAATGTGAATCCAGCATACTTGCACTGCCTTATGTCTTTAAGTATTTAATTTAGTTTAATTTTATTTTTGCATACATGTATATACTTGAATACTTGTATACGTCTTGCGTGTCTGTCTCGCTGGTCGTTGTTAGTACATTCACCATCAGACTAATGTAATTTTAATCCTCTGTGTGTCCTGTACATATGGCAGAATAGACACTAAAGACTTGATTTCTTCATTTTTTCTTGTCAGTCTGAATAACACAAAAACATTGGAAGATTCTATATCCATTCGAACAGTGTTATGACATGAGAACATTTCTTGTGCTTTTTTAATATAGATGATTACATTTGTCTGCTCTTTGGTCAGATATCTATATATATGGTGAGAATCTCAGCACACGGGAAATTACTTGAATGTTTCAGAGGATTTCACTACCTGGTATATTGAAGGGAATCGATTGCCCTGGAAATGTCAAAAAATGCCCTGAGGCAGTTGCAGCTGTTCTGCCTCCTGATGTTTCAAAACCAGTGTTTCCCAACCCTCAGGCAGTCCACGTTTTTGCTCCCTCCCACTGGTGTTGAAGCATCAGGAGCTGGGAGGGAGCAAAAATGTGTACTGTCTGGCAAGGAGCTCGGAGGGAGCAAAAACATGGACCGACTGTGGGTCCCCAAGGACCGGAATGGGAGACACTGGTTCACACCACATAAACAGTGTGAGATGGATCAGAGGCCAGAGGACAAGGTGACAGGCAGAGCAGACAGTCCTAGGGGGCGCTAGAGAACAGGTTTAGCTGTTCAGGGCTGTGACACCAAACCATATTACCTAGAAGCAATAAGAAGGAATTTCATAACACTACAGACAGCAGATGGGCTCATTTGGTGCTTTGATATGAACACAGTGCACATATAACAGCTGACACAGAAAATGATAATAACAAAGGATAAAATATTAACTGGAGATGTTTAAGCTAAAATCAATTTCCTTTGTCGTAAAGATTAAAACGTACAATACATAAAATGTAACGTCATTTATTCTTTCAGTTTCAAATATAATAATATTGCAAAATATCTTTTGAATAAATACAATTCAATCTTTATTTACTTACTGAACAGCCTTTTTTGCCAGAAACTACAAAGACAGGAACAAATAGTTAAAACCATCCATCTATAAATGAGCATTTTGAGCATAAACTAAGGAAACATTCAGCAAAGAATCAGAGGTGTGGCCAGCAAGTACTGAGGCAGTGTTGCCTGTTCACAGACAGCAGGGGGCAGTGTTGTCTGATCACAGACAGCAGGGGGCAGTGTTGCCTGATCACAGACAGCAGGGGGCAGTGTTGCCTGATCACAGACAGCAGGGGGCAGTGTTGCCTGTTCACAGACAGCAGGGGGCAGTGTTGCCTGTTCACAGACGGCAGGCAGGTAAGAGGCAGTGGCACAAAATCCACGGACTTTTTATGTAAGTTGTAGGTTTACCTTCCTGGTCCGGAAGATGGCGGCCGTGACCCGGAAGCACTTGCTGATGGTCAGAGGTCAGCGGTAGTGTTTGCCACCAATCACACGTTTGCTTGTTGGCCACAAATAGTCACCCTATTGGGGGAGGGGGATGCATAAACAACACAGCCGCCCCCCGATGGAGGCACTTGGGCACCTCTTCCGCTGGGTCACGACCTTCGCTCCAAGTCTCATGTGACAGAAAGGAGGGGGTGTCACCCTGCCTCTTGGTCAGGAAATAAACTCAGGTAAATACAGTGCTTATTTATCGAAACATCATATTTAAAAATCCATTATGCAGTTATACAATAGGCAACAATTCACCACAAATTAAACCACTTCTGATTAATGTTGTCACTGATATAAAAATCATCCTGTAGAAACGCAGCGCAGGCAGCAGGAGGTACACTTGTTCGGATATTTAAATACACACACAGTTATCAAGAGTATAAATACACAGAGAAATCAAAACATTTGAAATATTTTGAATTTTTCTAGTTTCATTTTTCTCATTTTTGAGTTTATTCAGGTGCTACTATTTGGTAATCTGCTGAGGAGTGTAATAAGGTCCAGCAGGAGCCATGTAAACATGCTCACACACACACAAAGTCAGTGCACATGCACACACACACACACACATACACACACGCCAGTGCACATGCACACACACAAAGTCAGTGCACATGCACACACACACACACACATACACACACGCCAGTGCACATGCACGCACACATGCTTAGTACACATGCACACACACACACACGCTCAGTGCACATGCACACGCATACACACACGCCAGTGCACGCATGCACGCGCACACACACACACACGCGTTCAGTGCACATGCACACTGACATCTAGCCCTAATGGCGCTCTTCAGTTCAATCGCCTGCTGCGCCATGAAATAAAAATGTTGTCTCTCCAAAGCACTTCAAAGCATTTCCAGACAGCGCCATCGCCTGGGGGGGAAACGCAGGCGCGGATCGCAGGTCCAGAAAGGAGGCTGGAAGGAGACTTCGTTGTGCGCAGGTTTTCCACCAGCTATGTCACTCTCCAAGAGCCGATCGGCCTTCACAGCACCCAGAGAGGCCCACGTGGTTGTATGATATCCGCCCTTGTGCACCACTTAAGTTTATTGAAAAGGGGGCAGTGGGTTTTTCCAGTAAAGGAAATAATTAAAAACTAACCACAAAGATGGAAGGATTGCAGTACAGAGGAGTCTCATTAAATTAAAGGCAGCTCCTCGCACCGTCTGCGCTGTACAACAGCGCTGGCTGCCCCTGCTTTGCAGGCGCGATGGGTTCACTGTTGCCATGGTGAAGACCATGTCTCTGTCTGTATAGGGGCTTATTAGCCTGGACTTCGATAACATTCATACAGAAAATAAACCTTTTGCCGCACAGTCCAGCCCCAGGGGTCTTCAGTAAGATCAGCCACATGTGTGGAGCTGAACAGGACGCCCTTCTGTTCTTTAGACCACTGTGTAGGGCTGTCAGAGTGACCTTTGACCTCACTGACTGACCAAGGCTCCCTTCACGCTGCTGTCCGTGTGTCCTGTCCCAATGGATTTGTGCGTTTCACTGCTGTGTGAGAGGTGTCCCCAGGCTGGCACAGTCTTGACCTTCATGCGTTTACACTGCAGTGCTGGGGGGTAAAAATCCAGCTGCTCCAGGTGACAGGTGCCCTGGTGAATTACAGACACCCCAGCAAGTGCACGAATGCGTACGTGCACAGGAAGGACAAAGTGTGGCAGAAGTATCCCGGCTCTTGTCCACACCGCTCGCAAAATTACTGCTGTGACCAAGGGATTTCAGAATTAGGTACATAAAGTGATGATAGATTTTCAGTTAAATCCGTAAAATCATGAATATTTCATAAGGTTTTATTAATATTGTACATCAGTGGATTCCTCCTGACATTCCTTCACTTCAGTGCAGGGTGGGTCATGGTGATTACTGGCTTACTATGAAGATCACGAGCTTCAAAGCCGTGAAATCAGCAATCTTTTTTTTGCTCTTTCTGTGTATCTAACAGTCACTTTTCCATGTGCTACAGTACTGTAGTTACATATTTCTACATTCGCATTTTGCAGTTTGTGGTCTTTATTGCACAGCGCCATCACTAATTGGTTCAGCTGTGTTAAAAATAGCAAAAAATTGTAAAATATAGGAAATATAATCTAACTATTGTGTCTTTTTTGACGAGTCCGTCATTATTTGTCGCCGTGGATACCGACGACATGTCAAACAGAAACATGAGCCCCAGAGCTGAGGTCATAGGTCATAGCTCCTGCAGTGAGTCACACATCTTTAGAAGGTCCCAGAAACCAGCAGAGTAAGCAGAGTGAGCAATCTTCATTCCCTGTGGAACTAGCTGACTCCTGATTGGGTAATCCAGACCAGTAATATGACTCCCGATTGGGTAATCCAGACCAGTATTAAGGAACAACGCTCACCATTTGCCAGAGGAAGGGCTGCTTCTCATCTATCTTCTCCAGCTTTCATAATGCTGCAAGTTAGGACACCTACAATGACAGGGACCTCAAGAAGAAACCACATATTCAGCTCTCTAGATTGGGTTTTCTATTCAAGCAAAGTGCTGTTTATCTTCGGAATAACTATATATGCTCTCTAACTAGAAATAATCCTGAAACCTGCATGTCCAGATTCTATGTTAGAGTTTCTCCTTTAATTGTGGTTCCTAGTCAGGTGGCCACGATTAACCAATGACTTGCCTCTCCACAGCTCATACTGGGAAAATTCAGTATCTCCAAAAAAAAACTAGAGAGGTGAATCTCAGGAGGAGATGCAGACCGGCTTTCCGTTCTTGTCATACTGGTAGACCAGCATTTTGATGCGATGGGAGTTTGCCGGCGAGATCCAGGGACTGCTGGTGATGGAGAAGTTGTGACCGGCGTAGAAGTGAGCCGGCTGCTTCCTGCACCGGAAGAAAGCCCTGAGTGTGGTGGCGGCCATGACCCGGAAGCGCTTGCTGATGAAGCAGTACAGGAAGAAGTTGACACCGGTGTTGAGGAGCGCCAGCATGTTGGCTACGTCGGTGATGAGGTGGAGGAGGCGGGCCGGGCCCGGCGCCGAGGGCAGCGCTGCATATAGGTGGTAGAGGATCATGACGACACGTGGTGCCCACAGCACGGCGAAGACAGAGGTGATAGCCAGGAGAATGGCGNGAGGTGATAGCCAGGAGAATGGCGGTGGTCTTGCCCGTGGAGTAGCCCCGCAGGCGGAAGCAGCTCCGGCGATGAAGCTTGTGGACAATCACCGAGTTTAGGACAAAGAAGATGGAGCAGGGCACCAGGTAGGCGGTGACGCAGTGCGCCCACACTAGCACGTGCTGGCCGGGGCTGCTAGCTCCAGTGGGCAGGCCCTGCAAGAGCTCTGGCCACCAGTAGTAGGGGGTGCTAGAGAGCAGGCAGCCCAGGTAGACGAGCAGGATGATGCGACGCGTGCGGGCAGGGTAGGACATGGCGTGGTAGCGCAGCGGGTGGCACACGGCGATGTAGCGATCCACCGTCAGCGGCACGGCGATCCATATGGAGGTGTGCATGGAGGCAAACTCCAACACCTGCACCGCCTTGTTGAGGGAGGGGGGCAGCTGGCTGCCCAGGATGAAGTCCTCTAGCAAGAAGTCCACGAAGACGATAAGGAAGAGCACCAAGATGTCCGCCACCGCCAGCGCCAGAAGGTAGTTATAGGAGGACTTCTGGCGCCGCAGCACCAGCTGTGACAGGATGATCACTGTGAGGATGTTTGCTTAGAGGCACATGTGGGGGGGGGGGGGTTAGTGAAAACCAGACAAGGCAGGGGTGGAACAGGAAGAGAGGGCAGGGAGGACCGGTATGAGGTGGTGTGGCGGAGTCGGGTGTGGGATGAATTATGAAGAGAAAGGATAAGTTATAATTAGTCACATGCTGGAAGTGCTGTATGTGAAGGGGCATCACTGCCGGGGGGGGGGGACACAGCCAATAGGAGGTAAGCTGGGCTCTGTGCCAATGCCACGCCGCTCGCTCTTCCCAGCCCTAACCTTCCCTTTGATGCCCCCCCACTGTCCCCCCACCTGATTCCTTCCCGTTCTCCAGCCCAGCGACACCTGGCTGGTGATGGCAGCTGCCAGGAGGTGGTGCAGCCTTGTGATCTGATTGGGGGGGGGGAGCTTGAAGGAACAGGACAGGGACACCATCTGTCATCCAGCCGCGCATGACACAGCAGCACGGCGACGCCGGGGAAGGGGACCGAAGGGCTCTGTGCTCATGGCAGGACCCAAGTATAGAAAATCAAGCCATCGTTTGGCTTTTGTTGCCATGGCGAGTTCAGTCCAAGCTACCTCGCTGGTCTGACATCATCAGGAAATATAGCACTAGGTCCGGCAGAATGCGATGATAATTTGAGCATGCAGGCCACTACAATGGCCGCTTTTGTCATGATACTGATAAGGACATAATTGCATCACACAAAACGGCAGAATTAAAAATGATAGGTATTAACCAATCAGGGAAACAAACACTTGACAGTCAGAGAGTTATACCTCTGCTCTTCAGACCCATACATTTACAAATAAAAACAAACACAGGCAGGGCATCAGTCACACACACAGCCTGCGGGCGGGATAGGAAGAATTCGGCAGTGTATGCGGGTCAAGAATCAGTGGGTTCCCCGACAAGCTGCCATTGATTTTAAGCACTACAGATTCCTGAAGACAGATACTGGCGAGCAGGAGTCGCTAACAGAATCCTTAAATATTTCAGAGCTTCTGTCTGTGGATTTGCGAGACTGCCGGCGTGTGAACGGCTGACTAACAAAATCACGTTAAATGATGTGAGCTTGGGAAACAGCTGGCGTGCATACTGCGAAAGGAGGTGTCAACGTCTCAGGCAGTAATCCTCAGTCCTCAGCTTGTATGTTCTGGTCAAATACAGATCGAATTGACAAACGGTGAAGTATGTGAGCCCCCTGCTGGCTGTCGATAAATGAATGTTATACATCATGTGAATGTTTCGGGGGAGTTTCCTGCATGGCGGGGTGTGTATGTGATACGGGCTTTCTGTTCGACATGAACACCCCCACCACTGCCCCCCGGAAATTCTCCCCACTCCATGAATCTAGGTCAGATTGACGTCCCAGGAGGCGGCCAGGCTGCCGCTGTCGCTACCGGCGCCGTAAGGCTGAGCTCCGCACCTGCTGAACCGTAAGAGCGCCCCCATGCAACCGATAGGCGGCGCGGTCACAGCTGCACGAAAGCAAAAGGGGCATGTTTGTCCCGCCTCTGGTCAGACAAGAAGTTGGTGAAGTTTTACATGTTAGTTTACTTAGTTTGCGCATGTTTATGTGCTGCGCACTGATCGCGCTTTGTCTTTCTAGTGTATCTTTACATCGATGAGTACTGGCAAGTAGAAGATGAGGATCTATGTGCTCCGGACATTTAATGCTAAGAATGAAGAGAAAATCCCGGCTCTCGGAAGACCTCTGCTTGACTTCAGCCTGAGCTGCTCGGGACTCTCTGCCGACGCTCGCGCGTAATTACGCTTCTCTTTCTCTCCGTTTTGTTCTCATCCTGCCGATCGCTGCTACCCTCAAGTGACTATCCGCTGTATCCGCGTCCTGGACGTCACGTCCATCAGTGTTAAGTGACTGAATATCGTACTAATTTAGGCTAAGCAGAATAAGCTGAGCACAAAACGGGATTGTTTTACAATTCGAAAGTTAACGTGCTAAAGTTTGAACTGTCAGTGCATTTGAATGTACTGTATGATTGGAATATTTTGCTTGACAGCACAGACGAGCGCACGGACCCAGGGTCGTTTCGGGTCACCCTTAAATGAGTGACCAATAAATCAAATGAAACAAAACCAAATGCTTCATGAATAAAATAAACTCTGTCACACACAGGATGCTGTGCCCTTACACACAGACCTACGGCTGATGGATACACTGAGATAACCCCGGACTCAAAGAGTTACAGCCAGAGACAGACAGTGACAAACCCACCGGGAATGGTGTTAAAGAGGCGCACCCTTACCGGGGAGGCCGAGGCAGAGCAGTGCGCTGTAGTAGATGACAGGCAGGGTCCCCAGGGGACAGGCTTGGAGCCCGGGGGGGGGCTGACCCGCAACCCAGGCGCTGCTGTTGGCTGACAGGCTGCTGTAGATGTGATTGTGCTCCATGAGCTCGGATTCCCTTTGTTTCAGCCTCGTCTTCCTTTGGCTCTAATGGGGCAGCTCAGTCGCAGGTTGCCAGTGAAGCCAACATGAGGAACAGAGCACTGGGGTCAGGTGGGGAGGTCTGCGGCCCCTCGCTGCCTTTGGGCAGGGGCGTGCAAATAAGAGGGTGGGAGAGGAGGAGAGAGAGAGTGCAAATAAGAGGGTGGGAGAGGAGGAGAGAGAGAGTACAAATAAGAGGGTGGGAGAGGAGGAGAGAGAGAGTACAAATAAGAGGGTGGGAGAGGAG